TTTTTTTTGAAAAGACAATGCCGCAATTGATTGTGGCGTGGAGATCAATGCCAAGACTCTTGCAGTCTAACAACATATTAATAATATATCGTCACAAATAGAACTGGCCGGTAAACCGTAGGCAGAGAGAGAGAAGAGGACAACAAACGAGGGGCTGTGACAAACTGTTTCGTCGGAGTTTCACCAATATATACGATTAGAAAAAAAAATAAAATTGTAAATGGAATAAAAAAGAAATCAGAAAACGTTGGTGTATTTCTCGTTACGTACCTGTTGATCAAAGGCTGCCACGCGGCTCCTCTCCTCTTTGGTTGTGGCTATGGCTTCCCTAGGTACAAGTGCCTGGGAGAAGACGACCGCCTCCCTCTCCTTTAGTCGAGCCTCTTGTGGCAGTTGAGCGCTATCTCGAGCTCGATCGGTGTCATCAATAATCGGCATCATTTCTGCGTGTCCCGATTGCCACGTCATTGCCCAATCGGCTGGTGGAGCTCGTTTTTCGATACCCCCCTTCGCGTTGTTCTTTCCCATCTGAAAGCAGAAACCATCGCCGACCTCCTGACATAAAGGTGCACTTCCTATCAATCCAACCAAAGAAGAAGAAGAAGAAGAGGAGGAGGAGGAGGAGGAGGAGGAGGAGGAGGAGGAGGAAGAGATCAACATTCCTAGAGAGTGCTGCTGCTGCTGCTGCTCCTGTTGTTCCTGGTGTTGAGAAGGAGGAGGAGGAGGAGGAGGAGGAAAAGGCGACGGCGATGGCGATGGCTGCTGCGGTTTGCACGTATCATGAGAAGAAGGCCGTGTGATAAGGTCGTCGCTACTGCGTGTTTTACAGATACCCAACAATGGTTCAGATGCATTATTGAGAGAGAGCGACGGTCCCAATCCCGACGAACTCCATCCCTTTCCTCCTCCTCCTCCTCCTCCTCCTCCTCCACCTCCTCCTCCTCTGCCGCATGAGATCGAAAGCAATGGCGCTCCTGCTATCCAAAAGAAGAGGCTTCTCTTCTTCAGTCCACTAATTCTTCCGGCTTTCTTCATGGCTCCTTCCCCCCCCCCCCCTCCTGGCATGTCCACGTGGCTTTGTTGTATTAGCCGATCACCAAGATGGTCTCTTTCTGCCATGTCCACCCCTTTTGCACGCTCAGCGGCACAAGAAAGATCCGCTGACGCTGACGTGTCTTCTTCCAAACGGTTCGTACGTCCTGTTGGCGGAATGGATACGGCTTTATCCTCCTCTATCTGCCACGTGGCGGCGCGACTGCGCCTCCCATGCAGTGCATCAACAGCCGCATCATACGAGAGGGTAATGAACCTCTTCTTCTTCTTCTTTCCCTCTTTGAACCCCTCTTTCTCTCTCTGTTGCATAACCACCCCTTCTTGCGATCTCTGTTGTTTAATACCCCCCCCGGCCAGTTTCGAGCCCTCTTTTTTTCCCATACCCCCCCCCGCCTCTTTCGGCCCAGGTTTTTCGATCCCCTCTTCTTTCGGACCCTCTTTTGCATCCCCCACCCCTTTTAAAATAACCCCCTCTTCTTTCGGCCACCCCTCTTTTCCGACCCCCTTTTTCAACCCCTCTTCCGATCCACTAGCCCTTCCGGTTTTTTCGCCGGGCCGAGCGGCGGATGCCGCGGCGAGGATGGCAGGACGAGCGGTCGCTGCCGCGATCCCAGTCCCCGTCCCGATTGCTTCGGCGGATGCGCCGCCCGCGCATCGAGCCGCCTCGACAGCCGATCCGTTGCTGGCAAGCTGCCACGTGGACCGACATCGTCCGTACCAATCGACCGTCAGATCCCGATCTGTTGTCCTAACTGGAGCATTTCCGGCCAGCTCCTCTGCCTTCCGCACTAATTGCTTCTGCTGCAGCCGGGATCGACCGTCAGATCCCGATGGTGACGTGTCTTCGAGGATGCCAGCGCAGCAGCTCGATCCCGATACCGGCGTTCTCGCTGCTGACGTGGACTCCGCAGCGAGACCAGCAACTTGAAGGCCCGCCATCGCCGGCGGACACATGGGGGACGACGAGAAACTCAACGAAGCGACATGGTTTGGGACCACATTTGGGACCACAGGAACGGAACTCTCTCCTTCTGATCTGACAGGATGATTACATGCAGGAGTAGAGGAGTCTGGAGAAATCGGAGGATGATCTGTTTCCTGTCGTTGGAGCTTGGGGAATATAAAGCTGCAGACTCCTGAAGAGGGAGGAAGACTTGTGCCGCTTGGCCCACCGATGGGGAGCGAGAGAGGTAAGGGAGGTGCAGCGGAAGGTGGTGTAATAGGAACGGCTGGGATCGGGGCAGGGAAACGCGATTTCAGCGGGGTTGAAGGAGAGAGGGTAGGAGAAGAAGATGATTGATGCTGATGATGATGACGAGGAGGAGGAGGAGGACGAGGAGGGGAAGACCACCCTCCTCCACCTGTTCTCTCCTCCATCTTGCGAGCTCCAGAAGAAGAAGGAGAAGGAGAAGAAGAAGAAGAATGAGCGAACAAGCTTGAAGAAGAAAGAAATGGCGTGTCAACCAACTGCTCGGTGCGTTTGCTCTGTTGTTGAAGTAGGAGATCGGAGCGGCAAGCTGGTAGTCCCTCCAAGCCAGAAAAGGCCACCATAGCCGGGCCACCCACGCAAGCAGGGATGGCAGTAGTAGACGACGTCGAAGAAGAAGAAGAAGAAGAAGAAGAAGAAGAAGAAGAAGAAGAAGAAGAAGAAGGCACCATAGATCTCACCGATGGTAATCGCTCCAACCGTCCCAGGGCTTTTGTAGTGACATTACGAGGGCTATCACGATGTCGACGGTTGGTTTTGGCCAGAGGCCTTCGCTGGGCAGATGGCGCCTTTTTTGGTGGGCGCCAACAGGAAGAAGGAGCTGGAGGCGATGGCGATGACGATAGGAGGGGGAATCGCGACACAGGGGAAGACAACGTGGGGGGACATGCACCAGGAAGGGAAGGAAGAGGAGGAGGAGGAGGAGGAGGAGGAGGAGAAGGCGTAGAAGGGGAAGGTCGATCACCAAGCGTAGAGGTCGACGACGGGCGACCGGTCCTTGCTCTGCCGGCTACGCCACGACCACCAGGTGTTTGTTCCGATCCGGCGACCGCAACTTCGCCGAACGACCGTTTTAACGGTCTGGTCCGAACTGTGGCAACACCTGAGGACGACGGCAAGGAGGAAGACGATGACGACCTGTCGAGAGCTATGGAGGCGAAAGCCTTTCGACATCTTCCCAGACCGACGAGAGCCATAGCCGCCAGCGAGGTCGTCGAAGATGAGCAACGAATGGACGGTGGAGATGGCGTCTGCTTTTCATCCAATAAATTCAGAGATTGAAAATCAATATTCTTCTTGACCAAGGAATCCTCACAACCTCCTATCTCTTCTTCCATTGCAGCAGATCCTCCTCCTCCTCCTCCTCCTTCTCCTGTTCCTCCTCCTCCCCCTCCTCCTGCTGCTCCTGCTGCTGCTGCTGCTGTTGCATGTTCCCCTGCTTCTGATCTCCCATTTTCACCTCCCTCTATCTTCATCAAGAATTGAGATTCCGTGATGGCATTGATCGCGTCAGAAGGCGGTGAGGAAGAATGACGCAGCAACAACCGTGTGCCGCCATCGCCATCCATGCAGGTCCCGCTGCCGAGCAATCCACCGCCCACTTGTAAACCTCCTCCATCTCCTCCTCCTCCTCCTCCTCTTGCTCCTCCTCCTGCTCTTCCTGCCCCACGGGGGACATCAGGAGGAGGAGGAGAGGAAGATCTCCCTCTTCCTCCTTGTCTCCGCGCTGTAACGCCGTTCCCTGATCCCGACCCTTGTTCAGATCCCGATCCCAGTTTAAATGAGGGAGGAGGATCAGAGGGAGCAACTCCTTCTTCGATCTCCACCGTGCTAATGCCACGTGGCGCATTTTCTCGTCCTCCTGCGCTTGAAAGATGATGACGACCGGAAACGATCGCTTTCTCTGGGATGGGCGACAGCGCACCACGTCTGCCACGGCCGCCATCGCCGTGCAAAGGAGGAACACTCGTCGTCATCGCCGCCGGTTTTCCGCTGGCCGTCGCCATAGCCGGCTTCTTCCTTCCCTTGATGCCCGCGCTTTTGCAAGAGAAAGACGAACGCGATGAAGCCTGTTGGGACAAGCACAAGGAGGACCAGTTCCTGGTCGTTCCCATGGGAGGAGAAGCAGAGAGCTTGCTGCTATGGCTGCTGCTGGTGCTGGTGCTGGTCGGGCTGCTGCTCGTGCTGCTCGTGCTGCTGCTGCCATTACCGCTGCTGTTGCAGGTACCGCTGTCGGCGGCGAGCAAAGCGGTCGGCGACCGTCTTTTCGTGGTCGTCGGCTTTACCATAGACGAAGGAGCGGCCGCTTGCGCTCTCGGAGAAGGCAGCCTCCTCCCTCTTGGACCTGCTCCTCCTCCCCCGGCCGCCGCCATCGCCGCACTGCTAGACCTCATTCCGGCCGCCATCGCCAGCTTTGTCGTCTTGACACAGGCAATCGGGGAAGAAGAAGATGCACTGACCACCACCTTCTTCCTCTTGCTCTTTTCCGCTAAAGCAGGCATACTTAAGGTCGAAGATCTATTAGCAGCAGAAGTAGTGGTGGTGCTCGTAGGAGGCAGCGATGGTGGTGTCGATGGTCGAGGAGGAGGTGGTACGTTCTCTTTGCCTGATGATGCTTCGTCGGGAGAAGAGGGGTTACTCTCCGAAGAAGAAGAAGAAGAAAAAAGAGGAGCATGACCATGCAGACACTTTCCACCAAGGCGGTGATTGATAGCAGGCCGATCGCTGCCACAGGATTTCGTCATAGCCACGCATCTCCTTGAAACAGATCTTGACGCTGATGCACGTGGTCTTCTCTCTTCTTGCTGCTGATGCTGCTGCGGTTGCAGCCGTTGATCATGATGATGATGATGATGATGATGATGATGATTAGTTTCGGATATGGCCGACATGCGAGGAGGAGGACGCGGAGATGGCGGCCGAGGAGGACGGCCACCTTCTTCCCCCTCGGAAAGACCACTTGTCGACGCTGTGTGGGGGCGCACAGCTGCTGATGCTGCTACTGCTGCGGGATCCCGACTTCGCCCTCCCCCTCCTCGCTTCAGACTACTGGTAGCAATCATGCCTTGTTGTCGTTGTTGGTTAAGGCGAGCGACTGCATCTGGTCGTCCACTTCCCATTGGCAGATGCATGGCACCTTTCTTTGAAGAAATCGAACGGTTGCTGCTGTCAAGAGCGGTCGCAGCAGCCGCATCCGATCCCGACGTGGACTGCATGGTGATGACGGCGGCTTCGCCTCCTGCCACGTCAGCTGTCGGGATCGCCGCTACCTGCCTGTTGCGACGCATGAGGAACGGATGCTGTGCGATCTGCTGAAGAGAAGGACGCTCCTCGGGGCAATGTTTCAGAATGGCACCTGCCAGTTCGGTGGGTAGGGGAGAGGGGAGCGGAGAAAAAGAAGTGCTTATTAATAAACAATAATAACGAATAATTAAGAGAAAGCAAACACGAATCAATCAATCAATCAATATCCCTCACCAACGCATCGTCCAGCACAATCAGCAAACCAGCGCCGCCATTGCATCAGACTCGACGAACAACGACATGCGGGATAAAGAAGTCCACGGCCTTCGGGAAAAAGACAAGGAAGACGAAGAAGACAGAAAAAAAAAAAGAAGGAAGACGAAGAAAAGAAAGCAAAAAAGAAAAGGAAGACGAAGAAGACAAAAGAAAAAGAAAAATTGGAAGACGAAGAAAAGACGAAGCAAAAAAGAAAAGGAAGACGACGAAGACAAAAGAAAAAGAAAAATTGGAAGACGAAGAAGACAAAGAAAGAGAGGGAAACGAAAAGACGAGGAAACAAAGAAAGAGAGAGAAACGAAAAGACGAGGAAGAAACCAAACACCATAATTCACCATAATCCAGAAGAAGAAGAAGAAGAAGAAGAAGAAGAAGGAGGTGAAGGGGGAAGAAGCAAAAAAGGCGGGGTCGAGGGGGGAGAAGAGTTGGGGGAAGGATGGTCTATAAGCTACGAAGCTAAGGGGAGCAAGTGTCACAATGTGGAGTGAGAGTGGGAATATGAACCGGGCACACGAACAGAAAACTAAAACAAAAAAAAAAACGTGAGAAAAAAAAAACACGCTTTCCAAAATTTTGACTGCCCTGTGGCACAAACAACGATCCTAATAATCCATTTTTTTTATTTTTATATGATACCCCCCGTTTTCAAGTTTCCCGCCATTCGAGCGGAGCGGAGTACATTGCAAAAGGTTTTCCCGCCCTCAAGAAAAAGATTCCCCGGCCCCTCTAACTCCTCCCTCCCCCCTCCCCCCCCCCCCCTCCCCCCCCCAAAGAAAATATATATATATTTTGGACGGGGGAGCAAAGGGGAAACACAAAGGTGTACTGTTTTTTTCTAGAGGTGATGCCAGCGACTTCAGCAAATAAAAACCTCCATTTTTAAACCAGGGAGTTTTTTTTTCCCCTTTTTCTCCGAATATAACACAAGGAATATATATTCGATTTAATGCTTGACGAAGTTTATAGCCACTCCTTTTAATTGTTGTTTAAATTAAATGTCCTTTCGGAGAAAAAGGGGAAAAAATAAAATAAAAAAAAGGAGACGAAAAACGAAGGTACTCATTTTATTTCCTAGTGGCGAAGATGCCAATGACTTCACACGAAGAGAAAAAAAGAAGAGAATATAGAGAAAATAGAACAAAAAAGGAAAAAAAAATCAAGGGAAAAAATTCCGAAAAATCTTCATAAAAGAGAACATAAAAAAAAGGCAAAGAAATAAAACAGAAATGTAAGTGCTTGCCACGGTTGGTAGCCATACCGCTAGCCCAAAAAAAAAAGCGGGTTGTTAGCCGTAATAATTTATTAATTTCCTTTTTTTAGCAGCCAAATATTTTCCTCGCAGTCTGATTAAAAAAAAAAAAAAACAAGGACATTATAAAGCTGCTTGCCAAATTTCCTGCTTTTTTTTTTTTTTTCTACCTAGAAACTGTCTGCCAAATTTGAAATTTCCACAACAAAGGCTTGATTTTTTCTTCCGTGTGCATACCATAGTATATTACATTATTAATATTATATAATTTATATTACTTTATTAATATTACATAATTTATATTAAACTTATATATATACGATGATTACATTATCTCACAATACATACAAACGATGCTAGATGTAAACAGTAATAATATCATTTTAATATCGTTTTATTAATATAAAAATTTTCCCGAAAACAAGACTCTCCTAAAACTCAAGCTCGTTTTCTGGGTCGATTGTCTTTCGATGCTTCTTCCTAAAAGTTCGGTTTTTATTTCTTTTTTCTTCCCCTCGGAGCTTCGCAAAAAAATAAAAAAAATTGTTTTTTCCAATTTTTAACGCATGTCCCGAAGATTAGAGTGGTCCCCTTGCAAATGGGCGAAGGAGGAAACATAAAAAAAAAAAAAAAAAAAAAAAAGAAGGAAAACAGGACTCAGAAAGTTACTTTTTTCTCCTTTTTCTTTTCCCCTTCGCTCAGGGTGCTCCTCAGGAGGGAGGCGTCGTGCTCCTCTCTCAAAAAGTTGGTTTAAAAAAAATCAGTGCAAGGGTCTCGCGCGATTAACACCAATGCAGGGGTAAACAACCAAAAATTAGTCACCAACACCAACACCAACACCAACACCAACAAGGCAGGGTGAATAAACTGCAACATACCGACCAGGGACAGACTACTCTTTTTATATTTTCCATTTGTTTTGTCATGCAATATTCCGCCACGGCCACACTAGATCGAAAACTCAAATGACTAAATAGTGCTGCTAAGGTTTTCAAACGTTGAAATCGTGCATGGCTGCGTGCGATTTTTGTTTTTTCAACCCCATTAAAAGACAAAAAAATGCTGCCTTTGATATCTGCGAGTGACACGTGGATTTGAGAGTGACACGTGGATTACAAGAGTGACACGTGGATTTGACAGTGACACGTGGATTACAAGAGTCACTCACCAATCAAATCTTTGGCTTCGGCAGAGACGTAGCAGCTTTCAGGAACGCGGTAGTCGTTGGCTTGGATGCGCTTGTACGTGCCCTCCACACTGCTTGATTCAAAGGGTGGCCGTCCGATCTGTGCACATCGATGGATCGATTTTAATGTTAATTTTGATTTGATTGATTGATTGATTGATTGATTGATTGAAATGTTGTTAAAAAAAAAAAGCAGGGAGAGAATAAACGATCAGAAGAACACCAGTAAGAAAAGAGAGGTCTTAGAACGCAGGAAGAAGTTCAAAAAATCCAACATGAGAATCCCGAGACGGGAGCTGAGACTGCGGCCATGCATGCACGAGAATACGAAACTTCAACGAGACATCGCTTGGTTTGAGTCGTCGAGAGCCAAAAAAATAAATAAAAGGTCATCCATCGATAGAGACATACAGATCGTGAAAGCAAAAGATATGCGGCGAAAGCGAGAGAGAGAGAGAGAGAGAGAGAGAGAGAGAGAGAGAGAGAGAGAGAGAGAGGAGCGTCGTTTGCCTTAATGAAGGATTAACGGAGGCGATCCAAGGCTCTACCCCATCTCCTCGAAAGCTGAAAGATGAACGCTCCCAGTCCCGGCGTTATTTCCTATGAGGCAATCTCAAGCCGCTACTTTGACAATCAGTCCGAATACAATCCCTCCCTCCCTCCCTCCCTCCCTCCCTCTCTCTCTCTCTCTCTCTCTCTCTCTCTCTCTCTCTCTCTCTCTCTCTCTCTCTCTCTCTCTCTCT